ATTCATTTATATTTGTCATTTCTTTTTGAGTTTCTACAGCACCTAGCACAATGGCAGGAATGTGTTAGGTGTTTAGTGAGTATTTGAAGGGGTCATGTTTGTGTTCTTTTTTTCAGGCAATGGTATGTCTTTATTTCACGTCCTCCACTAACTCTGGTCCTCTCAGTCCTTCATCATCTCTTCTGTCTTTGAATGGGGAGAGGCCATGGGAAAAGCACTGATCTTGGAATTAGAGGCTGGGTGCCATGGCTTACACCTGTAATCCCAGCACTTTGGGAGGCCCAGTCAGGAGGATCGCTTGCCCAGGAGTTTGAGAACAGCCTGGGCAACACAGCGAGACCCTGTCTCTACAAAAAACATAAAAGAAAATAAGGTCAGATGTAGTGGCTCACGCCTGTAATTGCAACTCTTTGAGAGGCCGAGGCAGGTAGATCACCTGAGGTCAGGAGTTTGACACCAGTCTGGCCAGCACGGTGAAACCCCGTCTCTACTAAAAATACAAAAATTAGCTTGGTGTGTTAGTGTGTGCCTATAATCCCAGCTACTTGGGAGGCTGAGGCAGGAGAATCTCTTGGACCCTGGAGGTGGAGGTTGCAGTGAGCTGAAATCTCGCCACTGCACTCTAGCCTGGGGGACAGAGCAAGACTTCCTCTCAAAAAAGAAAAAAAAGAAAAAAATAAATAGCTGGGCATGGTGGCAGGCACTTGTAGTCTAGCAGCTTGGGAGGCTAAGGTGGAAAGATCACTTGAGCTCAGGAATTTGAGGCTGCAGTGAGCCATAATTTTGTCATTGCACTCCAGTCTGAGTGACAGAGTGAGATGCTGTCTCAAAAAAAAAAAAAAAAAAAAAAAGGAATTAGTAACCCAAGTTTGTGTTCCATCTCTGCCTTTTTACCAACTGTGTGACCTTGAGCAAGTCAGTTAATCTGGCTGGGTCTTGGGATCATGATCTGTAAAGTGAGACAGTTGTACTAAATGATCTCCAAGGTTTATTTTAGTTTTAATACTATAGATCTATGCTGTCCAATATGGTAGCAACCAGCTACATGCGGCTATTGAGCCCTTGAATATGGCTAGTCAGAACTGACGTGTGCTATAAGTGTAAAATACACACTGGATTTCAAAACAAAAATGTAAAATATCTCAATAATTTTTTTTATATTGGCAACATGTTGAAATGACAATATTTGGATATGTTGGGTTAAGTGAAATATATTAATTTTTTTAAAAAAATGTTTTTACTTATTTATTTGGGTAGAGATGAGGTCTCCTTATGTTGCCCTAGCTGGTCTCAAACGCCTAGTCTCAAGCTATCCTCCCACTTTGACCTCCCAAAGTGCCAGGATTACAGGCGCACCCAGCCACTTAATTTTAATTTCATGTGCTTCTTTTTACCTTTATAATAGGGTTACTAGGAAACATAAAATTATATATGTGCTGCTAGGGACTGAATTGGGACCCCCTCAAATTCCTATGTTGAAGCTCTAACTCCCCATGATGTATTTGAAGATGGGCCCTGGGGCAGATCATTAGGTCTAGATGAGGTTATGAGATGAGGCACCATGATGGGATTAGAGTTGTTACTGGAAGAGACATCAGCATTCTCTCTCTCTCTCTGCCACATGAGGACACAGTGAGAAGGCAGCCGTCTATAAGCCAGAAAGAGGGCCCTCACCAGAAACCGACTATGCCAATATCCTGATCTTGGACTTCTAGTCTCCAGCACTATGAGAAAATAAGTTTCTGTTGTTTAAAACCACTAAGTCTACGGTATTCTGTTCTGGCAGCCCAAACTGACCAAGACATGCGGGTTGTGTTATATATTTCTGTTGGACAGCATTGGTCCAGGTATCTGGGAACTTCTACATACCAGCCCGCCTTCTGGCACTTGTAACTTTCTACATTGTGTCTGTGAGAGCACAGGCATGGTCTCCAAGCCAGTGTTTCCTCCCTAGCAGCTGCTCAAGAAGTTTCTGGCAATTAAGTCATTTTCTGACTTGTAAGAATATAAACAGTCTCTGGATAATGTATGTAAAAGAGGACCTCATTAAGATAATATTGGGTAACAACTGGAATCTCTGCAGGGCAGAAGAACCAGGCTTGGAGGATATACTCAGGCAGACAGCAATGTCCCAAATCCAACTGCAGACTAGTCTGGGGGTGACTCCACTGCTGTACCAGAGAACCAGAGTTGGCTGCCCACTGGCAGACTGAGTATGTGCTTCCAGCCTCATTAGCTTCCAGTTCAGAGTTCAGTTGAGTTTGAATCGGGGACTAGCTGCCAGGGAGGTTGGGAAGGTGAGCAATTGCTTTTGAGCTTTTTTTTAGTGGAAAGTGGGGTGTTATCATAAGCAGAAGATTTATTCCTTTAACACAGGAAGGGTCTTTAGATGCTGGGCTGCCAAATAAGGACTGGAACCCTTTCTTTGTGTTGCCTGAGACCTTGAAATTTTGTCTGCAACACAGCTGAAGTTCCACCAAGACTCCTCAGCTGGAACTCCTCCAGGCGAGAGGCTCTTCAGATCTCCTTGTTCTTCTGGGAAGTATGAAGCAGAACAGTTGATGTCATGCATTCTAATGCTACAATTATAATTTCATGATGTCCTTTCAAAGTTCTTGCATGATATTTTAGTGTAAAGACACAGGAGGGCACTCTAACCAACTAGCAATAAAACAGAAATGGTTTCACAGTCTTGGCCGTTAAAAAATGGATGTTGATTTGTCGAACCTGTAAAACACAGGTTTTTCTTTCTTTCTTTCAATTTATTTATTTGAGACAGAGTTTCACTCTTGTTGCCCAGGCTGGAGTGCAATGGCGCGATCTTGGCTCACCACGACCTCCGCCTCCCAGGTTCACACCATTCTCCTGCCTCAGCCTCCCGAGTAGCTGGGATTATAGGGATGCGCCACCACGCACGGCTAAGTTTTTTGTACTTTTAGTAGAGACGGGGTTTCTCCATGTTGGTCAGGCTGGTCTCGAACTTCTGACCTCAGGTGATCCGCCTGCCTCCACCTCCCAAAGTGTTGGGATTACAGGTGTGGGCCACCGCGCCCGGCCAGGTTTTTCTTTTTTTTCTAGGCAGGATAACTAACTTTGCAGGACTACCTTCCAACAATACCCTGCAAAATACCCTAGCTTCCGTGGGGGTATCTCACCTCTGACAAAGGCTCTCAAGACACACCCTCCACATTATCCAGTTAATGTTCTAGGGACCGTGACTGTGAGCAACTCAGAACAGGGAAGGAGTTTTTTTCTTCTGTTGTCCAGGCTGGAGTTTAGTGGTGTGATCATGGTACATTGCAGCCCTGAACTCCTGGGCTCAAGGACTCCTTCCACCTCAGCCTTCCAAGTACTAATAGCTTGCACCACAGGAGTACCACTTTGTCTGGCTAATTAAAAAAATTTTTTTGGTAGAGATGGGTGTCTATGTTGCCAGGGTTAGGGAAGAAGATTTTTGACTATAGCTTACCCGCTGCCTCAGCCACAAGACCGGGTTGCCAAGGGCTCACATTTAAAGGTCAGTTGGCCAAATTGAACCTAGAGCAGAGAAGAGAGACCTGGTTGTCTTGAGACTTTCTTCAAATCTGCAGCCTGTCCCCATGACTCAGTTTTCCCGTCTGTAAAATGGAGATAACATTAGACCTGTCTGTATAGTTTGCTCATGAAGAGAGAGAGTGGGAACAACATAGCTGGGAGTGACATTTACCATCGCATACAGACCATTGAATTCCATACTCAAAAACTAAAGCCAGCCTGCGTCTTGTTAATGAATGATAGCACACGGGAGGGACAGAGCGTGCTCTGCTGGCAGCTGGAGTAACAAAAGTAACGAGGCGAGGTAGGAACAGGATCTGCTGGCTCCGGCTCGGTTTCCTCACACAGGTTCCTCCAGCTGGAGCCACGACATTAGGGAGGAAGGGGCGCGGGGCTGCTGCGGGGCTTTTCCCTCCCCAGGCAGGGGCAGGACCTGTTCCGGGTGACTGCAGGGTTACTCGCGGTCAAGGGTATCGCCTTGAAGAGCCGGCTCCTCCAGGCTGGAGCGAGGCTGGATGGCGGGGCGCAGCCTCTCAGCCTCTCGCACCCGCCCTGCGTCCGCAGTGGCTGTTGGCGCAGCAGCCCCGCCGGTGTTCCGGGCTCAGTCCCCGCTCCCCAGCGCCAGACGCAGACTCTGGGCCAAGTTCTCCTTCCGCTCGCTGCTTTCTGCCCCAGGACCCGGATCAATAAAGGGAAGGAGAGCCGGGAGGAAATGATGGAGAACAGAGAGAAGGGAGGTGCTTGATTTCGCTCACCCAGCAGTTAGTGCTCACCGGCAGACACCGGGCGCTGGTCACGCGTCTCAGATACCAAATCTCGGCTCGCTGGTCCCTTTGAGGAGGTCGCCTGGGGTTCCCGCAGCCCTCCACCCCACCGTAGGAGTGCCTACCACGAGCTCCGCGCCGCGCTAAGTGCTTTGCTACGTGAACTCCTAGTTTTCCCAACATCCCTAAGTCGCGGATACGTTATCACCCGCGTATTGCGGACGAGAGAACCGCCTCGGAGAAGCTGGCTGGCTCGCCTGGAGTTTTGCAGCTAGTGGCGGAGCCAGGATTCCGAGCAGGTACTGTGCGATCCTCCAGCGCCGGCCACAGCTCACAGCCCCTTAGCTCCGCTGGGTTATTGTGCGGTCGCGCCTTCTGCACCTGTTGCGGCCTTCGCTAGGCGGGAAGGGAGGGAGAAGAGGAGGACCAAGGGGATGAGCAGGTGGCTCTCCTTTGACGGACTCCCGGCCCAGAGCGTGGGTAGACCACTCCCAGAGTGTGGCTTTGCGCCTTGGAGAGGGTGCTCTCCTTCTCCAGGGATCGCGTCCCCAGCGGACGCAGGGTTTCGGGGAAATGTCCGCCTCCGCCACTTGGGGTGGCAGGGGCGAGAGGAGGATCTGGAGGTCCGGGGGAGGGCAGTGGGAGAAAGCTGGGGCTGCTGGAGTCGCAGCTGCAGGCTGAGCGGGCCGGGGAGGAAGCGGGGCTGAGCGTGCGGCGTCCACGCGCTGAGTGTGCAGCGCTTCATTCAAACTTTCTCCAGTCTCGGTTCCGGCGTCAGCAAGGTGTGACCAATCAGAATCCAGAGACGGGAATAAATTATGCAAATCACTATCTGGCGATGGGTCAGATGACTCCCATACTTTTAAAAACTACCTCTGTAGGAGCGTGACAGCAGCGAGCCCTTGCTTCCCTGCGGCTCAGGACGAGGGCAGATCTGGTTCTGGTGCAGGCGGTTCACATTCGCTCCCTGCCACTGCCCGCGGCTCCGTGCCGCCAAGTTTTCATTTTCCACCTTCTCCGCGTCCAGCCCCCCAGCCCCTGGCCGAGAGAAGGGTCTTGCCGTCCCTGATTGCTGGAAACACCGAGAGGTGGTTTTTGTTTTTAAAACTCCTGTTTCTGGGGAGGGGGTGTGGCGGGGCAGGATGAGCAACTCCGTTCCTCTGCTCTGTTTCTGGAGCCTTTGCTGTTGCTTTGCTGCTGGGAGCCCCACACCTTTTGGTCCAGAGGGACAGCTGGAAGGTAACGTGCATTTATTTTTATTCCCCCCAGTCACTTCTCTGTGCTGGGTCCCCTCTGTCTTGCTGATTCTTCAATCCCTCCTTGTTCCTATGAAATTCTTCCTTTCCCACTGTGCTGCCCATTTTCTTTTCCAGTCCGCCTTGGAGTCCACTTGTCTCTCTGCGTGTCTGATGGGAGCATCCCCGGCAAGTCATGCAAAAGGCAAAGGCTGGCAGGCTGCGCTGGCTTTTGCCAGCCCTCTCACCCCCACCTCCTTCCCTCAGACCGTGCTGGTGCTGTCCAGCCAGCCGACCCGGCCTGGCAGCAGCTCTGAAACCTTGTCCTCACGCTTGAACCTGGCGGTTTGAGAGGCAAGAAGGTTGTTAGAGCCCTGTCTGCTGGAGCTGCCTTTCAATCTTGTTGTAGGTGTCTTGAAAGTTCAGGTGGCAGGGTAGCTGGCTTTGGCTTGATTCGTGCTTGCAGGGAGTATCTGGTGGGTCACTTGTGCTTAGAAGCTGCAGGGCCTATTCCCCCAGGTTGCCAGCCTTTTCCTCTTCAACACTCTTGTGCTCCCCCGACTCTTCCTCTTCCCACTTTTCCTCCCTTTCCTCCTCCTGGCATTTAGCTTTTCTTCCTTTTGGGTTCTCTATGGCAGCCTTTTCCAGTGGCAGCTTGCCCTAGGGGAGCCAGAGTCAGTCAGCTCTGGGGGAGTCAGAGTCAGAGTCAGAGTCAGAGTTAGAGTGAGAACTAAGTCAGCTGATTAAGCAGTGGAGGGCTGGGGAGCCCCTAAACTGAACCCCATCATCTCATTTTCTAGTCTGCTGAGGTTGTGCCAAATGGTCTGTGTCCACTTATGTATGTGTGGGAGGGTTACTGTGAATGAATGGAAAGCTTTCCTTTACTCAACATGTTTCCAACTCTAGTGCTAACTAGAAGCATTGTCTGGGGGCAGGTCCCATTGTCTGGGGGCAGGGCTCCTCACCTGTAAAATGCTAAAGTTCCTTTTAACTTCTGTGTTCTGGGCCTCTGAGTATGTGTGAGTCATTTCCTCCATTCCAAAAAGTATTTACTGCATACCTACTTAGTGTCAGACACTATTCTGGGAGCAGGGGAGAGAGCAGTGGACAAAATAGATGGCAATCTCTGCCCTCGTGACACTTACATTTCAGTGGTGGGAAGACAGACAGTGCACTGATTAAAATACCAGTGGTGCTCAGTATTATGGAGAAAAATCAAGCAGAGGAGGAAGGTGGGGGATGCTGGTGGGGGAAGGTGGCACGATTTTATGATGTGGTCAGGGAAGGCCTTTCTGGAGAAGCTAACCATTGAGCAAAGAGCTAAAGGGGGTGAGAGAAGGAGCCATGAGGACATCTGGGTGAGGAACAATCAGAAAGTCCCAGAGGCTGAAGTGACCCAGGCCAAAAGTAGTAGGAATGCAGCTAGAGAACTTTGGGGTCAGAGCGGTCAGATGCTAAGAGGAAGAGTCTTTGTCCATATGCGGGTTTATCCGCAGATCTGTCTCAGGAAACCAGAAGCCTCCTTTTCTCCTAGATTTCCCCATCTGGCCTCTGCGTGAGTGGCTCTCTGGGTAGAAGGTGGGGAGTTGCTGAACTCATTATGTCCGTGGTTCAAATTTCTGCTGGTTGGGGCTTTTGTTCATTACTTTCATGACAGTTAACCTGATTTCCACTCATGTGCATTTAGCAGCATTTTCTGGAGCCTTATCCCTCTTATATCTGCTGCATTCTTCCCCCCTCCCTCTCCTTTCCCTCCACCCTCTCCACCGCTGTATCTCTTTCCTTTTGGTATCTTTTTCCTTTTGCTTCTTAACTCTGAGATAAATTAACTCCAAGATGACCATTTGGCATCTTTCCCTGCTGGGTGATAGGAGAATTTGATACTCTAACGTCCTAGCCAGTTATCCAGTGATGCATCCCAGGATGGCTGAAAGAGCACTGGGTGGGGTCTATTTATGACTTTCTGAAACAGTGTCATGATGACAGCACCTACCTAGTGTTAAGCCACAGGGGCCATCAGTGACATGAGCTGCACTTTGGGAGCAGGGCCGTCTCCGAGGTGGCACTGTGCATGAGCAGTAAAGCTGGAAGGGGGGATTTTTGTTGCTTTTAGGAGTTTCTCCATGGCTTTAGTCATTTACTTAACAAACCAGATGAATGCCTGGCACATGCCACCATTAGAAAGGGCACTGAGAATGCCTGAGGTTCCCTAGATGGGAACACTGGGGGAAGCCTATTTTCCAGCAGGTCAACAGCCTCTTGCCTCCAATTCCAAAATCCACAATCTCTCAAAATTGGAAAATGCATTTGGTAACTTGTTTGGCAGCAAGACCTGGCCTTACCTGATCTGAACTTATTTGGCAGCAAAAAGCCTGAGATAACAGGAGGCTATTGGTTATCTTTATGTTTGCCCTCAAATGTGAGTGGTTATGTATTTCTCTGCAGAAATTTTAGGGTGTTTGATCCAGGGGGAATAGCCCAGGCCCCACTGAAAGCATCATATAATATATGGTGTATGCTCCATAATGCCTTTCTAAAATCTGAAAACTTCTAAATTCTGAAACTCACCTGGTTTTAAGCATTTCAGAAAAAGAATTGAGAACCTGTGATCTAAAAGTAGGAAGGAAGTAGAACTCCTTTTGATAGGAAAGAAGAGGGAAAAGCCAGAGAGAGATCTATTTATTTCAGAGTGACAGTAATTAATACTAGTGACTAATTAATACTCTTTAAGTATAAATGAGATGTCCTTTTTTATAAAATCTTCACAGTTTTTGTGGGAGGTGAAAAGGGAACATTCAGCAGATGTAAAAAGTGAAACCCAGATGGCTTAAGCAATTTGCTCACGATTGAACTAGAATCAGACTCCAGGTCTCTCACTCCCCAAGTCTGCTAGATGCACCTATGCTCTGTTCTGTCTCCCCAGATGAGCTTCACAAACCCAAAGCTATACAGACTGAGGTCAAACCTTCTGTGAGGTTTAACCTCCGCACCTCCAAGGACCCAGAGCATGAAGGATGCTACCTCTCCCTCGGTCACAGCCAGCCCTTAGAAGACTGCGGTTTCAACATGACAGCTAAAACCTTTTTCATCATTCACGGATGGACGGTGAGCCCGGGGAGGGAGCTCTGTGGCTTTATACAAGATTTGATTCCCTTTGTTTTGGTCAATTAGAAAGAATTCTGGTGTTTCCAGATTCCAATCCCTCTTCCCCCCTTTCCTTGTGGGCTGCTTGTATTTCAGACAGCTGTGAAGAATGTAACGGGCATTCACTAAGGGGCAATCTGGACTCCAGCAGGGTGGTATTAATGCTGGCATACAACGGGCTTTCAGAAAGTGGCTCTCCTGAGGGCAGCAGCCCAGCTCCACTGGCTCTTAAGGACCCCTCTAATTACACTTAATTACGCTGGTCAACCACTGCCTGGAGGGGGCTGTCCTGCCGTGAGAGCTGAGCTTGACTAAAGCAACTTGACTGGCTCCGAGAACCTATGAGTAGCCAGCTGGCCTGGATTGCCGGCTGCCCTTGGCATGATGCCCTCCTGTTTGCATAGAGATAGCCCGGTTTAAAGGCACTGGGGCTCTTTATGTGCTCTAGCTGAGCAATTCACATTGAAAAGCTCATGACAAACTTCAACAAAAAAGGGCTTTAGTGCTCAGCTTCAGAAGCTTTTGACCAGCCAGGAATTTATTCATTCATATAATGACAGTCTGTAGGGAAATGGCACTATGAAGTGAGCAGATTTCTGCCTGGGCTAATTGGAAGGGGACAGTCCTCCTCTTAATGATGAGAAATTCGTATCTGTTACATGCTTTTGGGGTCTTTAAGTCCGTCATCCATGGTTGAGGTCAGGGGTAGGAGAGGGCAGGTGTCTGCCTACCTAGTTGAATGAAGAGATGATTAAGAGCCTGTCTAACCGTGCTCATCACACAACCTACAATCAGAATCATATGTTTGAATCTTTTTAAGGCACCCTGTCAAAATGCAAATACAAGCTGCCTGCGACTTACAAATGGGTTGCATTCCAGAAAGTTCTTTTGTAATCTGTTTGGAACTTGGAACAGCAGTTTCCCATAGAAGCAAGATTGTAAATGGTGTTTGGGTTCCCAGGCTAGGCACAGAAAATCTATTTATTTGATAATGTGCTTGTGGATAGGTTTACAACTGGACCTAGTCACCATTTATAACTTTGTTTCTGTGGGAAAATATGTTCTGAGTTGTAATTTGGGATTCCGGGGACAGATTCTCCCTACTCTGGGGTCGGGAAGGATGGCAGAGATGGGTTGTGGGAAGGGGTCATTTGTTAACTCTGCATTCACCTAGGAGACAGCATCTCCCTGCATCTCTAAGAGAGAAGCTAATTCTCCAGGACAACCCTCCCCACTGCCTTTGAAGGATGGACCAGGCCACTTGCCTGCCTGTAACAGGGACTCAGACCAGCCTCATGCCAGTATCACCCTTAACACATATCTCACAGTGGCCCCAACGGGCAACAGCATAGGACATTAGCTAGGAAAGTTTTGATGGGAAATACTGGGGATGTGAAGAGCAACGGAAGACAAATACCTGCATAGTGATTCTGCCTGTGCTGGTCCTGCTCATGTGCAAATGTCTGGTCCCTGAGCAGCCAATGTGCAGGCTCTAAAATTGTCTGGGGGCACTGGGCATGGTGGCTCATGCCTGTAATCCCAGCACTCAGGGAGGCCTAGGTGGGAGGATCGCTTCAGCCCAGGAGTTCAAGACCAGCCTGGGCAACATAGTGAGACCCTGTTGCTGCAAAAAATTTAAGAATTACCCAGGCATGGTGGCGTGTGCCTGTAGCCCCAGTTACTCTGGAGGCTGAGGTGAGAGGAGGATGGCCTCAGCTTAGGAATTCGAGGCTATCTTGAGCTGAGATGGTTGTCAGTGCACTCCAGCCTGGGCAACAGTGAGACCCTGAGTCAAAAAAAAAAAAAAAAAAAAAAAATCGGTTGGAGAGAGGGTCATATAGAACGGAATTTCATATTTTTTAGGATTTCTGAAACCAAGAATAAAAAATAACTTCCACTTTTCTCTGCAGATGAGCGGTATCTTTGAAAACTGGCTGCACAAACTCGTGTCAGCCCTGCACACAAGAGAGAAAGATGCCAATGTAGTTGTGGTTGACTGGCTCCCCCTGGCCCACCAGCTTTACACGGATGCGGTCAATAACACCAGGGTGGTGGGACACAGCATTGCCAGGATGCTCGACTGGCTGCAGGTACTGGGGGATGACAGGGAGTCTCCTGTTGCCAGCAGGATCTCAAACCCCAATCTTCTTAAGAAATACATCTGTTGTCATGAACTTCTGGAGTCTGATAAAAATCTTTGAGATTATAAGTTTTATTGAATTAAGTATTGCTTGGAATACTTGAAAGCTGGGACTTTTCAAGAGCCTTTTAATTATTGATAGATCTCTGGATTTTTCCTGATACTTTTGCGGAAAATTGGCCTTGTGGGTTGTTCCTTCCTGTCTTAGAAACAGATACCCTTAGGCTGGTTGGGGATGGCCAGGAACCAGGCCAAGCTTGTGATCTGAAATTCCTACAGAGCCTGCTCTCGTCTCTGAAGCATGGCTGTGTTGAGGGTGGGGAGGGGGTTATTTCAAAGATGCAGCCTAATATCTCTTTTTTTAATCTCGGTTCACTGCAACCTCCACTTCCCGGGTTCAAGTGATTCTCCTGCCTCAGCCTCCCGAGTAGCTGGGACTACAGGCGCCCGCCACCACGCCCGGCTAATTTTTTGTATTTTTAGTAGAGACGGGATTTCACTGTGTTAGCCAGGATGGTCTTGATCTCCTGACCTCATGATCCGGCCCGCCTAGCTTCCCAAAGTGATGGGATTACAGGCATGAGCCACTGCGCCCCGCCTCTTCACCACCACGCTCCCCTCTCTTAGATACTGCGGGAAAGAACAGGAAACATGTAGGGAACAGCCACATATGCAGCCTCCAGTCATACCCTCCACCCTGCCCCCGTGCTTGGCATTTTCAGTGCCACCGTGTCCTTTTGGCCTCCCCTAAACTGACTGTGACCCACACATGGGGCATCACCAGCAAAGCCAGTGGGGCCCTGGGGAGTCTCTGTGCCCACAGCCCCTGCATCTCCTCCTACACCGTGATTGAGTTGTTGAATTGCTGGTGACTCTGGATCTCCCGACCCTGCTCTTCTGCTCACATACTTTGGTGACTTTCTGCAGGAGAAAGATGATTTTTCTCTCGGGAATGTCCACTTGATCGGCTACAGCCTTGGAGCGCATGTGGCTGGGTATGCTGGCAACTTCGTGAAAGGAACGGTGGGCCGAATCACAGGTGAGCTCCGCTTCCATCACCAGTAGCCGGTGATTGCCGGGCTCCCTCAGCTACACTGAGCCAGAATGCTCCCAAATGAGGCAGCGGAGTGAATCATAGAGAGTTAGCTTTAGAAGGAACCTGGAATGCATCTAATTCAAAACCTCCCAAATGTTCTTTTTAGTCACAAGAACCTTTTTTTTTCAGATTGAACTCGCACAGGTTCCCAACATATGAGACATGGAGAGAGAGGGGGGTGCTGTGGGTGGTGGGGTGGGTATATGGCGGGTTGTGTTAGCCTTGCCAGTGTGGGCTTTCTCCTTCCCTGGGGGCATCTCAGAGTCTCAGAGCACCAGGGAACACAGTTTGAAAACCATGGGTCTGGTCCAACAGGTGAGGAAACAGATACAGAGAGGTGAGGCAACTTGCCCAGGGGCAAACAGCTAACAACTCAAGAGCAGAAGCTGGATGGAGTCCTGGCCCCAAAGCTTTTGGGTGTTCACTTCAGGTCTCCACCCAAAGACTCAGGGGAAAAGAATGAATAGTAGATTTTAGTTTGAATTCTGCCTCTGATTTCTATCTTGTCTCGCAATAGCCTCTTTCCCATGTTAAGGTAGCATATTTATGAATGATAGCTACCAATTTAGAACGGGTGGTTCAACTTTGTAATAAAAGGAAGCTTTCTGATATTGGTTCCCAGGGGGTCAATAGAAAATTGAATTTTCCATGTTGAAAACTGCATCTTAGTGAGCTTTTAACATGAGAGTTTGGATTAAATCATTGAGTGATTGTGAAAAGTGTCAAAGGTTTTCTTTCTCGTTGATGGGCCCCTCAGGTATATACACAGAGCTTCCCCTATGCTACAGTTTGTTGCCCTGAACTTCTATCGTCCTTCCAGCATCATTTTATTTATATTTACCCCTAACTTCCCCCTTACTCCCAAGACTCTAAGGGTGATCACCTAGAAGGAAAGATCTGAACAATTCCTTGTCCTGCAGCATTTTCATTTTAAAACAAAACTCAGGTTGGGTGTGGTGGCTCACACCTGTAATCCCAGCACTTTGGGAGGCCGAGGTGGGCGGATCACTTGAGGTCAGCAGTTTGAGACCAGCCTGGCCAACGTGGTGAAACCCTGTCTCTACTAAAAATACAAAAATTAGCCAGGTATGGTGGCGGGTGCCTGTAATCCCAGCTGCTTGGGTGACTAAGGCAGGAGAATCGCTTGAACCCAGGAGGTGGAGGTTGCAGTGAGCCGAGATTGTGCCACTGCACTCCAGCCTGGGTGACAGAGAAAGACTCTGTCTCAAAAAAAACAAAAGAAAACTCAGGTAGAAGAGAGTCCTTAGCTAAATAACGATTTGGTAAAGGTAGAATTTCAGATTTCAGTGACAAGCTGATATGGTAGAATTTTAAAAAGAATATTTGTGAAGTTTTCCTGGCTCTCCTGAATCCTGTCCCTGGGCTTGATCTAGTATGTGCGTGCACACACATGAACATGCATGCACGCAAATGCCTGTTGATCCAATGATTTGATTCATCCCAGCTTGAGAGCTTTATTTTTGATTTCCAAGACTGCGGGGCTTGAGCTGCCCAAAGTGGGCTATGCTTGTGTGACCACCCATGACTGCCTATTAACCCCTTGCTGGTGCAAAGCAGTTTGACCTGAAGCTACTTGGGTTCCATTGTCTGAGCGCCTCTTCCTAGCCCCTGAATGAGAGGTGTGATGTTTCAGATCCAGGCGGCTGAGTTCAAATTTCAGCAGACAGCAGAGTCAGGCCCAGGATGTCAGTAACAATGACAAACTACAGATCTTGCCTTTCTCTATTTCTAAATCTGAAATGAGATAGGGCTAGGGATGGAACTTTCCAGTTCTTTCCCCCTGCCTGTTTGAGTGGCATCTGCTGGGGTGAGGGCTTTTCTCCTGAGGATGGCAGGGGAGCCAGGCAGAATGCTAACTAGTGCTCTGGGATAGTTGCATGGAGCATGATGCCCACATGCCCTGAGCATAGCCCCTTCCCTCTAGCCTTTTTCTGTAGAACAGGGGCCTGGCCTCTGTCCAGTTGCCAAGCAGCACCCCTGACACATGCTATTGTGTATGTCTGTTGGGGGAGGCTATGTCCTCTTCTCTCCCCTTGGTAGACTTCTCATGGACCTGTGGACCAGGTGATCACAACTGGTAAGAGGACAGATTGAGGCTCGCATAGGGTCCTGCATCCAGTGACGCCACTATGCCAAGGCCACCAGGCAGTCCTTAGCCTGGGCCTTGCAAGGGAATATCTGAACCCCAATCTTGCTTGGACCAGAGGGTGTGGATGGGAGTTTGCTAGAGTTTTACTTTCTTAGGCTTCTGAGAGAAGCCTGTGATATACTAGGAAAGAGGTCATATATTTATAATTGAACCTGTGCCTTGTTTGCTATAATCAGGTAAGCAAGCAGATGAATTTATTCAAGAAATGCATCCATGTGTGCAGGCTAGATGCTAGCTAATGTTAAATACCTCATGTGTGGCTGGGCGCGATGGCTCACGCCTGTAACCCCAGCACTTTGGGAGGCCGAGTTGGGTGAATCACCTGAGGTCTGGAGTTCAAGACCAGCCTGGCCAATATGATGAAACCTCGTCTCTACTAAAAGTACAAAAATTAGCTGGGTGTAGTGGTGGGCGCCTGTAATCCCAGCTACTCAGGAGGCCGAAGCAGGAGAATCGCTTGAACCCAGGAGGAGGAGGTTGCAGTGGGCCGAGATCGCACCATTGCACTCCCAGGCTGGGTGACAAGAGTAGACTCCATCTCAAAAAAAAAAAAAAAAAAAGCAAAAATAAAAACAACAAACAAAAAAAAACCTCATGTATGACAGCTGCTTTGTGCTATCTCTGAGCCACATAGCCAATCTGAACATTCTACAGAGGGGGAAACTAGGACTCAGTGAGTAAAGGGCCCAATATCCTGGGTCCTATAAGTAGCAGAACTGGGACTCCAACCCATGCTGTCAGATTCCGGATCCCATGCACCTCACTGCTGTGCCATGCTGCCTTTCTTCTGCAGACAGAGATAAAGTGGCCAGGCATGGTGGTGCATGCCTATAATCCTACCTACTTGGGAGGCTGAGGTGGGAGGATCACCTGAGCCCAGGAGGTGGAAGTTGCAGTGAACTGAGTTTGGGCCACTGCACTCCAGCCTGGGCAACAGAGGGAGACCCTGTCTTAAAAAAAAAAAAGTAGCTGTTGAACTACAGCAGGCCTTGCCCTGCCAAGCCAGAATGCACAGCCCTGGAAGTTTTGCATGCATGCATGTGTGTGTGCTCCATTTGCTGGACAAAGCGACTTTGAGGAATCTATGACTGAATGGAAGAAGCGGGAGCTCTCTATCTCCCCTTTATTTAAGGAGGCAGTTCTCCTGGTCATTCATTCCTAGTTAAAAAAGTTAAATGTGCCACTGCGCCCCTGAATCTGTGGGCCATAGATATGTGTCAGGGACAGTCAGAGCAGGGCAGGCAGGCTCTGGCTGGGGAGGTGAAGGCCCAGCCTTGCTGCCAGCCAGCCTGTGAAACCCTGTCAGCTGCCCGCATTCCTCCAGTACAGCCTGGTTTCCATGGCACTGACCGTCTGGTGGGGACCTTTGTTCACACCGAGTAAAGAGCCTCTCTCTTGTATTGATTGCAAAGCAGAATGTTGCTCTCTCTTTCTCTTTCCTCCAGGGGACACAGGGAGAGGCTGCTGTGTCAGTACTGTGGTCCTTGCGGCCTCTGAAATGGGTAGTCATTGGTTATTGTGGGAGGACGCTGCTTTTGTGCCATCTTTCTTTTGGGTCCTGGGCTAGGGATGAACCTTCAAGCAGCCTGGGCTCCTTTTCTGTCTTGGTCACACATAAAGTTATGTAAACTTGGCCGGACGTGGTGGCTCACACCTGTAATCCCAGCTACTCAGGAGGCTGAGGAAGGAGAATTGCTTGAACCCAGGAGGTGGAGGCTGCAGTAAGCCAAGATCGCGCCCCTGCACTCTAGCCTGGGTGACAGAGCAAGATTCCGTCTCAAAAAAAAAAAAAAAAAAAAAAAAAAGTTATTTAAATTTGTGGAAACTATTTAATGTTTCAGCCTCTACCAGTTCTCATATGAGTAATGAGTTCTGCAAGTTGACCGTCCACTCTAGACAGTAGCTCTGCCTCTTGTTTATCCTGAAGCTGCCATCTCAAGTCTCCTGATAGGCTCCCTGGTTCTTTTTTTTTTTTTTTTTTTTTTGAGACGGAGTCTCGCGCTGTGTCACCCAGGCTGGAGTGCAGTGGCGCGATCTCGGCTCACTGCAAGCTCCGCCTCCCAGGTTCACGCCATTCTCCCGCCTCAGCCTCCGAGTAGCTGGGACTACAGGCGCCCGCCACCATGCCCGGCTAGTTTTTTGTATTTTTAGTAGAGACGAGGTTTCACCGTGTTAGCCAGGATGGTCTCGATCTCCTGACCTCGTGATCCACCCGCCTCGGCCTCCCAAAGTGCTGGGATTACAGGCGTGAGCCACCGCGCCCGGCCGGCTCCCTGGTTCTAGTGTGCTGGGGTCTGGTGAGCATGCTTGTTACCCATGTCCTCCTTTCAGGACTCTCACTGGTCACATGCCCTCCCAGCCTTGGTGTTTTCAGGTCACGGTTTCTCAGCCTAGGCAATATTGACATGTGGGGCCAGGTAAGGTTTTGGTGTGGGGGTGTGTGTGTGTGTGTTGGGGGTGGATTGACTTCTGTACTGTAGAATGTTTATCTGTATTCCTGGCCTGGCCCTGCTAGATGCTAGCAACTCTCTCCATCAGAATGGGGGCAACAAAAAGGTCTCCAGGCATTGCCAGATGTCCCCTGGGGGGCAAAGCCACTCGTAGTGGTGAACCACTGTTCCAGCGGCCCTTCCTTTCTGGCACATTTCATCTCTTAACTTTCTCCAGGTCCTTCCTATGTGTCTGTGGGGCAAAGATGCGTTCTGGTTGGGTGAAATGTGGTTCCCATAATCACTTGGGCTTGGTAATAGTAGCTAATACTGATGGGAACTCAGTCTCTTAAGATCTCACATGGACTGTATGAATTAAGGTATAAATTCAGGTTCTATTTTATAAATGATAGTGAAACACAGGGAAGTTTTTTAATATTTTGCCCACAGCATACCTACTTTTAGGATCATCTGGGGAATGAATATCTATTTCTAGGAGCCATAATTCGTAACTACCCACTAGAATCTCTAGGAGTTCAGGGACTTGTGAATCTGCATTTTATACTTTGCAAGTTCTTTTTTGGAATGGTTTTACGTTAATGCAGTTTTCAAATCAAAAGATGGTGAAAAGTCTCTCTTACTGCTCTGCTATCTGTCCATTTCCCTTACCCACCCTCTCCCCAATGCACATGCATACGGGTAACTAGTTGCTTGTGTGACCTTCCAGAATTTTTTGTCGCTGTATGGTAGAATTTAAATTTAACAAGCTCCCAGTTTCAAATATGAACCAGTGCTCTCAACAGTGCCGCTTGCCTGCTCAACACAAAACGTTTGGAGGCAGAAAGAAAGATTTTCTCATTGTGGCTGCAAAATAGAGGAATTCTGGAGGCCTGATGTATGGATTCTCAGTGTGTTGGGTGTCCTCTTCTCTCTCACCATTCCACCCCTGGGCCTGACTCGTAACTAAAGGAAGGGGAAGAATAAGTTCAGATACAAATAGCTTAGTTTAGGGAGACTGGATTCTCCTTCCAGAAGGATGTAGGCAGCTTAGTTATTCTGTAAAAATTCTGCTAAAATTAAGGACGTGAAAGGTGCTCAGTGGCAGAATGAATGGGACAAATGGCTTAGTTTTAGGCAGTCTGAGTTCTTTCTAGAACTGCTTCAGTTTTAACAGGAGCAGTTCCTTGGAGCTGTGTGGCAGCGTGAACCTTATAGCTAGTTTACGGGGTTTGGTTGAGGTGTCGGGATACATGAAGGCTTCAGAAGAAAGTATAAATTCCATAACGATAGGATTTAATTTCCGCAATGATGTCTTGGGGTCACTTGCATATGGAAATGGGTCTCTTACTTTCTTCCGTGCTTTCCACATCTTGATTCTCCCAGCTAGATTCAGAAGGCATCTTCTTCATTCTGCACACCCAGGCTTAACTTGTAATCAGGACTCACTGACTTTGTGTACCTGACAGAGCTGTTTTGGGGCCTTGCTCTGCTGCAGGTTTGGATCCTGCCGGGCCCATGTTTGAAGGGGCTGACATCCACAAGAGGCTCTCTCCTGACGATGCAGATTTTGTGGATGTCCTCCACACCTACACGCGTTCCTTCGGCTTGAGCATTGGTATTCAGATGCCTGTGGGCCACATTGACATCTACCCCAATGGGGGTGACTTCCAGCCAGGCTGTGGACTCAACGATGTCTTGGGATCAATGGCATATGGAAGTGAGTTCCCTGTTTTCTGCTTTGTGTTTGACTCAGTTTATCCCATCTCCTTCTAAATCAGCCGAGCCTTTAGCGCTGCAGGCACTATGTGTTCACTATTCTCATCTCCTGCCACAGAGGCCTCCAACACTGTGTTTAATGTTTCTCATTGTCCTCCAAGACTAACCGACCCAGTGGTTCCTGCTCTACTTTCCCATGCTTTAAGGTCACAGTTATTATTGATTAATTTCTTTTCTTTTTTTTCTTTCTTGTTTTTGAGAGGGAGTTTTGCTCTTGTTGCCCAGGCTAGAGTGCAATGGTACAGTCCTCGGCTCACTGCAACCTCCACCTCCCTGGTTCAAGCGATTCTCCTGCCTCAGCCTCCCAAGTAGCTGGGACTATAGGCGCACACCACCACACCTGGCTAATTTTGTATTTTTAGTAGAGATGGGTTTTCACCACGTTGGCCAGGCTGGTTTTAAACTCTTGACCTCAGGTGATCCACCTGCCCTAGCCTCCCTAAGTGTTGAGATTACAGCATGAGCCACCGTGCCTGGCTGATTAATTTCTTTTTATGACAAAAAAGAATACACACGTTTGTTGAAAAAGATATCAAGCATTATAGACTTGCATAAAGCAAAAGTGCACTCCCACTCCCACCCCTACTTCCACTCTTCAGATGTAGCCAGTATAAATGCTTTTGTGTGTATCCTTTTGTCTTTTTTCTTTGCAAATTAGTTGCATGCATATTTTCCTCCAAATCACATTATTCTGCAACTTTATTTTAATTTTAATTTTTTTCAACTTTCTTTTTTTCCTGTAATAATATGTTATGGATATTCTTTTTCTTTTTTTAAAGACAGAATCTTGCTTTTTTTTTTTTTTTTGAGACTGAGTTTTGCTCTTGTTGCCTAGGCTGGAGTTCAGTAGCGTGATCTCAGCTCACTACAACTTCTGCCTCCCAGATTCAGGCAATTCTCCTGTCTCAGCCCCAGTAGCTGGGATCATAGGCACCCACCACCATGCCCGGCTAATTTTTTGTATTTTTAGTAGAGACGGAGTTTCACCATGTTAGCTAGGCTGGTCTCGAACTCCTGACCTCAGGTGATCCACCTGCCTCGGCCTCCCAAAGTGCTGGGATTACAGGTGTGAGCCACTGCACCCAGCCAGAATCTTGCTATGTTACCCAAGCTAGAGTGCAGTGGCTATTCACAGCTTACTACAGCCTTGAACTCCTGGGCTCAAGCTATCCCCCTGCCTCAGCCTCCCAAATAAGCTGAGACTACAGACATGTGCCATTGCATCTTGCTATTATGGACATTCTTAAATATCAGAGCACACAGATTTACTAACAATATTTTTACAGGCTGTATAATATTCCATAGCATGGATACACTCTATTTGAATTTTTAGTAACATTTTAAAGAAGCAAAACCATTTCACTTAAGTTTTTTCCATTCACTTAACATTTTTCTTCTTCTTCTCCTTCTTCCTCACTATGTTTCCCCGGCTGGAAACAAGCAATCCTCCTGCCTCAGCCTGAGATTACGGGCGCAAGCCACCACACCTGGCTCCAAAATTTATCTTCTGAGTGCTTGAGCCTGTTCTCAGCAGATTTGGGCTGAACTGAATTTGCTAAAACTGAGGGGTAGGGCAGTGACCAATTTTGGGGGGTTTCTTATCCTTTTACTGCCTTGGCTGCTGACAGCATTTCCTGTCTTGACCCCAGGCAGCTCCCTCCACTCTGATGCTCTGCCCTCCACATGTCCTTCTCTGTTGCTCCGTCTTACCCTGTCCTAGTTTAATCCAAGTAGCTCTGCAGGGTTTGGAGGTCCATGCAAGGGGAGTTTACTCCCTCCTCAGAATATAGGATGATGGCTTTCTTTTCTTTTCTTTTCTTGTCTTTCCTTTTTTTTTTTTTTTTTTTTGAGATAGAGTTTCGCTCTTGTTGCCCAGGCTGGAGTGCAATGGTGCAGTCTCTGCTCACTGCACCTCCACTTCCCAGGTTCAAGTGATTCTCTGCCTCAGCTCCCAGGTAACGTGGGACTCAGGTCCCACAACTATGCCCCAGTTAATTTTTTGTATATTTTTTTTTTTGAGACTTACTTTTGCTCTGTTGCCCCAGGCTGGAGTGCAATGCCATGATCTCGCTCATTGCAACCCCGCCTGCCCAGGTTCAATGATTCCCCTGCCTCCAGCCATGCCCTGAGTAGGGGATACAGGCACCGCACCACCACACCCAGCTAATTTTTTGTATTTTTAGTAGAGATGGGGTTTCTCCATGTTGGTCAGGCTGGTCTTGAACTCCTGACCTCAGATGATCCGCCTGCCTCGGCTTCCCAAAGTGCTGGGATTACAGGCGTGAGCAACTGCGCCCGGCCCCAATTTTTTGTATTTTTAGTAGAGATGGGGTTTCTCCATTTTGGCCAGGCTGGTCTCGAACTCCTGTCCTCAGGTGATCCACCCGCCTTGGCCTCCCTCACGATTACAGGCGTGAGCCACCACGCCCAGCTAGATGATAGCATTTCTTAAGGCTGCTGGTGCCATTGAGGCAGGGTTGGGGGTGGCTTTGCCAAATTTTTCATAAGATTCCAGAAATTATTTGGGCCAGAAAATCCAAATTGTATGCCTAACTTTGTAACCAACTGTCTGTAAGACCCTGAGCAGATTACCTCACCCCTAAGGACCTTTGGGTCATAATCTTTAATTGAAGCCATTGGACTAGAATGGAGTTGGTAAACATCTTCTTAAAGCATCAGCTAGTAAATGTTTTAGGCTTTGCGGGCCGTATTGCCTCTGTTCCAACTCTGTTGATGTAGCATGAAAGTAGCCACAATAATACATAAACAAATGAGAGTAACTATTCCAACAAAACTTTATTTACAAAAACAGGTAGCCAGCAGGCATGGTGTGGTGCACCTGTAGTCCCACCTATTTGTGAGACTGAGGCAGGACAACTGCTTGGGCCCAGGTGAGGATCACTTGAGCCCAGGAGTTTGAGGCCAGCCCAGGGCACATAATGAGACACTGTCTATAAAACAAAAACAAAACAAAGCAAAAAAAAAAAAAAAAAGAGGTAGCCGGCCTGCAAGTCATATTTTGCTGAGTCCTGCATGAGATGTTTAGGATCTTATCCATTTGCAGCATTCTGTGGCTGTATAGCCCTATTGGGAGGTAGTGACTCCTGCTGCACAGCTGGTCTGCATCACTCTACTTAGCACTTACTATATGGGCTTTCTTGCTCTTTATTGCTTTGTGTGTATTTGTGCTGTCTTCCCACCAAGAGAGTGAACAGTTAGGCAGCAGGAATGGCCTTAAATTCTTCTACATCTTAATGGGAGCCTAGCACCTTCCTGGACATTAATTAAGCATTACACAGGCCGGGTGCAAGGGCTCACATCTGTAATCCCGGCACTTTAGGAGGCGAAGGTGGGAAGATTGCTTGAGTCCAGGAGTTCAAGACCAGCCCGGGCAATGTGGTGAAACCCCATATCTACAAAAACTACAAAAATTAGCCAGGTGTGGTGGTCATGTGCCTGTAGTCCCAGATACTGGGGAGGCTGAGGTGAGAGGATCACCTGAACCTCGGAGGTTGAGGCTGCTGTGAGCGGTGAGTCATGATTATCCCACTGCACTCTAGCCTGGGCAACAGAGTGAGACCCTGCCTCAAAACAAACAAACAAGCAAAAGAATTACATGAAAATACTAACAGTGACAATGAACAGCTATCACTGATGAGGATTACAGTATTTATTGTTTGAGTGTCCAGTCGTCGAGAAAAGCTCATCCTGCATGCTTTCTGTCTCTCCCACCCCTAGCAATCACAGAGGTGGTAAAATGTGAGCATGAGCGGGCCGTCCACCTCTTTGTTGACTCTCTGGTGAATCAAGACAAGCCAAGCTTTGCCTTCCAGTGCACTGACTCCAATCGCTTCAAGAAGGGGATCTGTCTGAGCTGCCGCAAGAACCGTTGTAATAGCATTGGCTACAATGCCAAGAAAATGAGAAACAAGAGGAACAGCAAAATGTATCTAAAAACCCGGGCAGGCATGCCTTTCAGAGGTAACCTTCAGTCCCTGAAGCATGCCTGAGGAAGGCCCTTATACCTCCTTCTTAATACCATGCTGCAGAGCAGGGCACGTCCTAGCCCAGGAGAAGTGGCCAGCACAATTCAATCAAATCATTGCAAATCAGATTACACTGTGCATGTCCTAGGAAAGGGAATCTTTACAAAATAAACAGTGGGGACCCCTTTTGTGATGTGGCTATCAGTCCATGATCACAATATCAGCATCTTAAATTTTTATCTTGCATTTAACTTTCTTTTTTTTTTTTTTTTGCATTTAACTTTCAAAGCTGTTTCATATTTGGTTTCTCATTTGATCATCACAAGAAACATAAGGCAGATGAACGGTGAACCAAAGTGACATGTTACATTTTTATAATGCACTGCAAAATCACAAGGTTTTCTGGGTACTCTGGGTATTATTTTACTGTGAGGAGGTTGAGGCTCAGAGAGGTTAATACCTTGGTCCTTAATCCAGGGGCATGTAGTTAGAAAGCAGCTAAATGAAAATCCTCAAAAGATCTAACCCCCAAGCACAGGGCTCCTTCTTCTAGACTGCAGTGGCCTCTTATGGCATTGGACAGAACAAGAGCAGATGGGGGCTGCAGGTTGGGCTCAACCAAAAGAATACCAGCCCTAAAATCTCTGTGCTGGGTGACTCAGTTTGGGTTGGGGTGTCCTGTGATGACAAGCAAGGATTACAAGCATCTTTGTTCTGCTGTCTCTGCAGTTTACCATTATCAGATGAAAATCCATGTCTTCAGTTACAAGAACATGGGAGAAATTGAGCCCACCTTTTATGTTACCCTTTATGGCACTAATGCAGATTCCCAGACTCTGCCACTGGAAATGTAAGTCATCAGTTTCCCTTGCTGGGTTTGGGATAGAGAATAGATTGGTTTGAGAATGAGAGAGCACAAGGGAGCATGTGAACAAGTGCAGCATGCAGGAGAGTGGAGTCCGACTGCTTGGGGAGGAGCCAGGTGGTCTGGCTGGCCTCTGCAGTCCTCCTGCTGCACCTTCTCTACCAAACTCTGACTCAGCGTTTTAGGGAGGAAAGTTCCTGGGATGAATCAGCATCATGAGAAGCTGCTAGATCAGCGGCTGGATCAGCTGGGCAGAAACTGCTGTTTCATTCCAGGCAATGCCTGGTGAGGCTTCAGGCAATCTGGAATTTCATAAACGTCATCCCTGGACCTTTCCTAATGATGTGGCTATGGGAGGGGTGCATAGCGATCTGTATATATTTGTTGAGTATCCACCAGGGACAAAGCGTCATGCCGAGTAATGGGATTGTGATGAAACATCATCAAAGTAGCTCACTTTTCAGGGCTCAGGGTCTAGCTGGGAGACCAGGTTTGTACATGCACATGCATACTTACACACAGATGGGGCAAGGCAGACGAGGCCAAGCCAAATGAGAGGGACAGACAGGAAGCAGCTAGGAATTCGGGGGAGACAGATGCCTGTGGGCTGAGCGGAACAGCGCACTTAAGTGGGGATGTGACTTCTTTGTGTTTTCTTATTGTGTTCTTTCTTGGTTCTGTATTTTCAGGAAGTAGCATAAGTGGGGCGGAGGGGGTGCCCAGGAATGGTTTTGATAAGAAGCTGGAGTACTGTGGGCAAAGTTAGTTCAGCCCATGTGGAGTACACCCGAGCTTCCATCTTGGTCCTGCCAGTGGGAGATGGAGGCTTAGAGGTGGGGGAAGGACTCACACTGTCTCTCTCCTGTCTGTGTGGGGTTGTTACTGCCACTGTGTCACCCCACACAGTGTGGCAGTTTTCTAGCTGTCAGGGGAGTGAGATCAGCTTCTCTCCAACTTGTAGAGTGGAGCAGATCGAGCAGAATGCCACCAACACCTTCCTGGTCTACACCGAGGAGGACTTGGGAGACCTCTTGAAAATCCAGCTCACCTGGGAGGGGGCCTCTCAGTCTTGGTACAACCTGTGGAAGGAGCTTCGCAGCTACCTGTCTCAACCCCACAACCCCGGACGGGAGCTGAATATCAGGCGCATCCGGGTGAAGTCTGGGGAAACCCAGCGGAAGTAAGTGCCTCCTGCTCCTTCTTCTGCCTGGTGTAGGTGGGGAACAGAAGGCCGTGCCTCTGCCATTTCCTCTCCTTTGCTGCATCCACCCTCAATCCTTCCCTCCAGCATGCAGGTAAAACCTCAAACACCTTTGCAAGGACAAGTGACTTCCAGATCAAGCCTTCTATCAACTGTTACGCATCTCATGCCCTGAACATAGGCCCTCGGGGAGAGGGGTGGGCCAGTGGCGGCAGGAATTCAGCCCTGGCCCTGTTTGCCAGGCCTTGTGTCAGCCTGGAGGAGGGGGACTTCTCTTGGTCCGGGCTCTTTAGGAGTGCTGCCTTGTTGATCTGTTTACTGTGGGGTCCATGCAGACAAAAGGCTTTGCTTGCTTCTGACCAGAGCAGACTGGAGTATCACGTCCAGGGAGCCCCCATGGATGAGATCTGTGGGAGGAGCTGGTTTTCCCCAGCATCTGATTTTCAGAGCATCATTAACTCTCTCCTTCAGAGGTTCTAAGTCAAGGATGTGGGGCTGTGGTCCTAACTGCAAGTCACAGAGAATCCTCTGTGCTAGCTGGCAGTTTCCCATTTCTTTTAACCCCAAGCCTAGCATAAAAGATCCAGACCTTTCTATCAGCTCCTAACACCGTGCCTTGACTCCCTGAGCAGGCTTCTTTCTAAACAGAAGCCAGGGAAGCCTGTGAGATCTTTGTCAAGAAGGGAGAGTTTCTTTAACCAAGTCCTTCAGCTGACCTCTAGAGAGGTCACTGCCAGCCTTGGCATGGGACGAGGCAACTGCCTCCCTCTTTGTCCCTCCTCTGGCATTTTCTCCATTATAATTCCTGCCATGTCTGGTTTACATTCATCATCTGTGGCACAGCTTGGCAGCAGAGGGAAGTGAAGTGGAGGCTTGGAGCCCTCAGCTGAATGATTCTAGTCTAGAAACCTGTGAACTGGGGGTGGTCTAGACTGTGTATCTTTTTACTTCTCTTGGCCCTTGCAGGTGCAAACTATACCTATGGGTGTGATAGCAGGAAGATGATCACTTATAAATAAAATATTTCAAATAAAGTAAACACCTATTAAATCACCATTGAGACTTAAAAATATAAATAGTTTTCCATATGGGTTTAGATATAAGATTTTTAAAAGTAAAACATTATAGATACAGTTGAAGCCCCTGTGTCCTTCTCTGCTCTACGCTTCTTCTTTCAAACCAAA